TAGCCCCTTCTGGGAGCCATGAAGGACTGAGAATTGTCATTTTTGACTATGATATGACCAGCTGTATTCAGGAACTTTCCTGGAAGAAGAAAACACCAAAAACTTGATCTAAGACAAAGCTTGAAACAATGTGGAGAAGCACAAAATGAAGCTGAATTGAATCCTGATCATTTTTCTTTTTTAAAAAATTATTTATTTATTTAATTTATTTTGGCTGTGCCAGGTCTTAGTTGTGGCACGCGGACGCTTAGTTGCAGCACGCATGCAGGATCTAGTCCCATGACCAGGGATCGAACCTGGGCCCCCTACATTGGGAGCACAGAGTCTTACCCACTGGACCACCAGGGAAGTCCCTCTGTCTTTTTTTTTAATGCTAGTCAAGAAAAGATCTAAAATTTTCCATTCTAAAAAAATGGTTTCATCCAAACCAAATTTTATTAAAATGCTCATGAAAATCACTGAACTGTTATAACTAGCCTAGTGACAGTACTGGAATGTGAGCATCAGTTTGCTTGTGCTGTGGACAGAGCGGGGAGGAGGAAAGGAAGGTGGCACAGAGAGAAGGGCAGGCTGCCTCTCTAGCCTCTCTCTCCCATGCAGGGGAGAGTCGCTCATCAGGTGCCCACTGGCCAAGCTCTGGCAGCGACCCAGCAGTGGACCAATGGCTCTGCTGTTGAGGGGAGAGGACTGGGACACAAAAAAATGGATGTCAGAAAAAAGTTTCCAAGGAAATTTGTATGTTAGAGCAGAGGATGGGGCGTGAAGAGGCAAAGGAAAGATACATTCCTTCCACTCCCAACCAACTCCCTGCCTCACTTCTTTTCACTCTTCTGCTCCAGATAGCTCACTACCTTTCCTATCATCTCCAATATGGTACCTCGAGTCACTAAAGTGGATTTGTAGGGATTCTTAGCACCACACTGCCCATTCTCTCTCTCTCTGAAAAAAAATTTTTATTTAAAAATTTTCATTTTTTCTCTTAACTATATGTCCATTCTCTCTCTTGAATCCCTTATAAAATATCTAGTAAACTGGTTTGAGCCGGTACTAAAGTAAACCCAAAATGTGTCACCCCACAAAAAGCCCTAAACATTTTATTAGGCAATTGAACTAAAAACATAAAATATTTTTAAGCCAAACAAATCTGGTATTTCATGTGGTTCAATCCCCCATCCCAACGTGGGACACCCACAAATATTCATTTTCAAATCAAATGTAGATGAGCCATATACTGTCATATTATTATAGGCAGTATTCATACCCATTGACAGCCTGTTCATTTATACAGTCCAGCTTTTCACTTGAAACGTAAAGGTTGCTGTTCACAAGAAATGAATGCAAACTAAATATGCATATGACTGTATGACCCAGATTTCATGTCTAAAGACAATTTCATAAGGTTACATCCTTGGGATAAAATTAAGAGGAGAAAAGAGTGAGTCATTTTCATTCTTTTGCAACTTACTGCAACGTGTTTCTAAGTGTTAAACCTCATACCATCTCTCCTTTAAGAAGCTTTTAAAATGCTTAGATGGAAACAAATGAGATGTTATATAAAAGGCAGAAATTTCTGCAGAAAAAGGCACAAACACATGAAGCAGTATTTCAGTTCTTTATGAGCTAAAGGAAGCTGATGTTAGTTTTAATATTAGCTGGAGGGCAATCTCTTAGCTGGAAATTAAAAAAGAAATAGGAAATAATGCAAATGGGGGAAAAATGCCAAAGGGGGACTGCTAGGATTGGAACATAAACATTTAGGAAAAAGAGTAAGGAACAATTTTATTGAACAAGAAAAAAAATCAGTTAAATACGTGAAGGTATTTTGTGTATGTTTTTCCACAGCACACTGCTAAAATAATATCACACACAGTAAACTAAAGAAATTAAAATGAAACTGAAAGGAAAAGATATTTTCCAAGAAATCTGACTGACTGCTCATTAAGAGTGCTGAGGATAAATCACTTAGGTCACCAATATTTGGTTTTGTTCTTATCCTAACAGCATTGTCCTAGCTGCCTTCAATGTCTTCTAGAACAAAGAAGGGTATAAATAAATAAATTCATAAATAAATAAAAAGATAGCACTTCCTGCTAAATGCAATTGCTGAAGGCAAGAGAAAAGTCACAGACTAAATTACGAATGAGGAAATCGTGCCAGATAAATTTTGGATATTTTAGCTTTACTTTTAGTGGTTTGGAGTTTCTCTAAAATGCACTGCAAGCTCTTGGCTGCAGCACAGAAGTACTTGGGATGCTTGTTAGAATGCACACTTTAGGCTTCACACATCCAGAGACACTGATTTAGAAGGTGAATGAACCCAAGAACCTGCATTCCTAAGCAGCTTCTCAGAAGATTATAAATGCACATGGTCCGCAGTTCACACTGTGATGAAACTACCGCCTAAAATAAAAGACATGTCTCTCTACTGTGGACACTGACATGTTTTTCTGAGGCAAAAAAACCCACAAAAAAAACAAAAAAATACCCAAAAAACAAAAAACCAAGACAAACAAACAAAAAAACGTATTTCAATAAAGAAAGGAACCTTTAAATATAATTTAAATAAATATATATTTAAATATTCTTCTGAACCATCAACCTTGTAACCTTAGGTAACCAGTGAGTTATCCTAACGGAAATTATCTATTCTCATGATCAAAATGGTTTCTACAGGTTTCATCAAGCCACGCTGGATAGCAACAGTTTCCTTAAAGAAAGCACACCAATGCTTTCTTTAAGGAAACTGTACAAGAACTCTTCACAGATGCTACCAAAATTTTTGTTGAATTTGCCTTACGTGAAATTTGAAAGATATGCAAAGAAATTATACATATTTATATAAATAATAGGTACACACACATATATATGCACACATACACTCCAGCATTTATTACTACTGTATCTAAAAATTCGAATTTGCTTCTCATTTCATTTGTCAGCAAAAACTCCCCAAGTGCATTACATAGGAGGCTCCTCATGGGCTCCTTCAACACTTTAGACCCATGACTGGCAATTTTCTCTATGACTCTTTTTCTTATCTCCTTCCTTCCTGTGTCTCTTTTTCTTTGATAATCAACCCCATGACCCTTATCCACAGGTACATACAGCCACATTATGGGAAAGATACACAGTTTTGTCTTTGCCCTACAGCAGTGTCCAAATGATTTTCATTCATCCCAATATGACCATTTCTGACAGAAGAGTATGTGTCAGGCCCTATGGAGAAACGGACCCACAATTACAATATGAAGTGGTATTCGCTATTAACAGAAAAGGGATGGCTAGTAACAGAAAACACTCTGGGTTGCTTTTCCTCCAGCAAATTAAAAATAAAATATTAGAGAGCTCCAGGACGCACAGCAAGAACACCATAAAACTTGACTGAGTGGAGATTTGCAGTTGAGGAGCGTGCAACAGGGGCTGTTTCTGTCAGTAACTTTTAGAAGTCATTTCGATAGGCCAACAACACATACCTGGGGCGTCATCATAGTCTAAGTCAGCCTTTCTCTAGCTCGTACTTCAGGGCAAAGAACTGGCCAGTTGGCATCCATTATTGACCTCACAAATCACAGTATTGATATTAGAGGCCTGGGCGCAGAAAGGGTGAGTGAGGCCATGCCTAGGCTCTGGCCACCCTCACCGTCTTGCTCATGAGAAAACAGTGATGGAAGAAGAGGTGTCAGTAGATGGGAAGTTTGTCTGCTAGTCGATTCTAATCCAGCCTAGATGTGGAGAACGGAGAGTGTATTCACTGGGGGGTTGGATTCGGGCACATCTGAGAGTGACTGGTGCGGGCGTTCCAAATTCTGACGGCACCGCGTGAAATCCTTCTACACATGACCCACTGAGAAAGCCAGGAGAACGCCCCAACACCACTGCACCAGCTCTACCTGATGACTGTTTTGTACCTATCATGTCTCGTGGGATTTCACATGAATACATTTCAGTAATATTTTCTAGTAACACCATTTCCGGTCAGAGCCAGAGGCAGAGAGGAAATCTCTTACCTGTTAGTTCACAAGAAGAAAATACTTCCTGTTCCCAACGGAAGACTATTTCTTTGATAAATACTCTAACCTAAGAATGAATTACTTTACTAGTGACATGTTCTTTAACAAGCCCCTACTTTATCATTAAAGTCAAATCTTTTCTTTTTTAAAACAAGTTTAGCTCAATACGCATTCCCTGCAGACCTACTTTATAGCAGGCAGGCAGGGTGCCACCGCAGACACATGACAAAGGATGAAACACACACCTGTCCTCAAGGGCTCTGGGTACCTTCAGGGGAGTAAGAGCTGGACCTTCTAACACAGTGTGGCATGCATTAGTCTGCAAGGGTGGGCACAGTGCTCCATGAACACTGTGGAGCCTGGGAGATCTGGGGAACCCTTCGGGGGGGTGACAACTGAGTTGGATTTTAAAGTGTGAATGAGATTTTACTGCAAATGAAAAGAAGGGCAAAGGGAGCCTGAAAAAAAGCTGTGGGACGCAAAAGGGAAGGAGTCTTTAGGGAACAAAGAGTATTTTGTGGGACTGAGGCACAGGGGAGAGAGATGTGGAGGATGATGACACCAAGAAGATGGGTTGCAGCCAGAACAGAAAGGACCTTATCAGCCACATCAAGGAGTGGATTTTATCCTGTAGGAAGGACAATGTGGAGCCTGGAAGGTTTTTAAGGAGAGGTGTTGCAGGACCCAATCTGCGTATTACGAGGAGACATGTGGTGGCTGACAGGGGGTGACGGAGAAGAGGCTGGGAGACCAGTTACAGAGCTTAATCGAGACCATTCATAACGTGTCGTGGAGGCTCGATGCTCTTAGGTGGCCATCATTTTCCCCCACATGTTCTTCAACTATATCTGAGCTTTCCCCCTTTAATTATATATCAATATGGATACATATATTTTTTCCTATCCAAAATACATCATCTGTGGTCCAGAAAATCACATTCCACACGATAGGGAGTAAACGTTTATGTAAATACTTAAAAGGATCTCTTACCTGAACAAAGCTGTTCCACTTTCGTGTAGTTTAGAGATACTATGTCATTAACCCAGGCAATGATGTCATGTCGGCTCATAGTCTCCTGGGTTATCGAGGTAGAATACACGTTGACTGCCATTCCCCAGCTAGAAAAAACAAACAAAGTTTATTTACCTACAAGGAAAAAATTAACTCAGAAAGATGACAGACATCCATTCAAGCTCTGGATCCCTGACAGAACTCTAAGGCTTGTAAAAGTCCTGCTCTAGCTAAGCCCTTTCTCTTCCCTTTGTCTCTGTTCTACGTGTTTGCTATAATATGGTTAAATCTCATACATTGTTCGTGCAGTATCATTTTTTGTCTCCCTCAACTTGACTCAAATGTTCTTCAGGTTCTGAGATTCCTAATCTCTCATGTAATTTAGTGTCTCACTTAGAAGGTAACTTGGGGGAATTCCCTGGTGGTCCGGTGGTTAGGACTCCACGCTCTGACTGCCAAGGGCCTGGGTTCAATCCCTGGATGGGGAACTAAGAGCCCATGAGCCGCGCGGCCCAGGCAAAAAAAAAAAAAAAAAAAAAAAGAAAGTGAGTTGGGAATATTTTTTATCAGCTTTAGAGAAAAGGAAATTCACTTTAGAAACAGGTTACAAATACACTTCATTAGAAAAAAATCCTTGCGACTTCCCTGGTGGCGCAGTGGTTAAGAATCCACTTGCCACTGCGAGGGACATGGGTTCTAGCCCTGGTCCGGGAAGATCCCACATGCCGTGGAGCAGCTAAGCCGGTGCACCACAACTACTGAATCTGCTCTTTAGAGCCCGAGAGCCACAACTACTGAGCCCACGTGCCACAACTACGGAAGCCCGCGTGCCTAGAGCCCATGCTCTGCAACAAGAGAAGCCACCACAATGAGAAGCCCGCACACCGCAATGAAGAGTAGCTCCCACTCACCGCAACTAGAGAAAGCCTGTGCGCAGCAATGAAGACCCAACACAGCCAAAAATAAATAAATAAATTTATTTTTTTTAAAAAAGAAGAAAAGTCCTAACCTGATAGTCTCTATCAGTCTCTAAAAGCTTTGGACAAAGCCTTGAAAAAAAAAAAGTATACCAAAAGTGTTTGGATAATCTGGAAGTCCTGCCTGACTGCACAAGTCTTGCTTTCAGCTATGATTGTTAATATACTCCTGACCATTTCATGACACTTACTATTTCCCCCAACTTTTCGCTGGAGGGGCACACATTGGCCATAGAAAAGGTAACAGAAAAGGTCTGTTTTGCTTAAAATGCTTTGATAGCTAGAGTTCGGTGTAACTGGTTTCCTTTTCTTAATTAATAAACTTTATTTTTTAGAGCAGCTTTAGGTTCACTGCAAAATTGAGTGGAAAGTACAGAGTGTTCCCACATAGCCCCCTGTCCTCCACTGCCCCCACCCCCAGTCTCCCCAACCGGCTGGTACATGTTAAAATTGGTGAACCTACAATGATACATTATCACCCAGGTTCCATAGTTTACATTAGGTGTTATACATTGTGCAGGCTGTGACAAATGTACAGTGCCATGTATCCACCACTGTAGTACCACACAGAATAGCTTCAGTGCCCTAAAAATCCTCTGTGCTCTGCTGATTCATCCCTCCCTCCCACCATTCCTGGCAAACACTGATTTCTTTTAATGTCTCCATAGTTTTACCTTTTCCAGAATGTCACATAGTTGGAACCATAGACTGTCTTCTTTCAGTAATGCACATTTAAAGTGCCTTCATGCCTTTTCATGGCTTGAGAGCTCACTTCTTTTTAGCGCTGAATAATACTGCACTGTCTGAATGTACCACTCACCTACTGAAAGACATCTTGGTTGCCATCAAGTTTTGGCAATTATGAATAAAGCTGCTATAAATATCCATGTGCAGGTTTTTTTAAGTTTTCACTCAGTTGGTAAATACCAAACAGCATGACTGATGGGTTGCAATGGTAAGAGTATATTCAATTTTATAAGAAACTGCCAAACTGTCTTGCAAAGTCGCTGCACCATTTTGCGTTCCCAATAGCAATGAATGAAAGTTACTATGGACTAGTTTGCATTTTCTAGAATTTTCTATAAATAGAATCACATAGTATATACATTTGTATGGCTTCTTTCATAAAACCGTGAGATCCATGCTGCACCGTATATCAGTAGTTCACAGCTTTTCATTGCTGAGTAGTGTTCCATTGTATGTATATATTGAGTTTGTTTATTCATTTACCTGTTGACGGACATTTGGGTTGTTTACAGTTTGGGGCTATTATAAATAAAATCATTATGAACATTAAGAAAAAAAGAAAGTTCTGGGACTTCCCTGGTGGCGCAGTGGTTGAGAATCCACCTGCCGGTGCAGGGGACACAGGTTCGATCCCTGGTCTGGGGGGGATCCCACATGCCGTGGAGCAACTAGGCCCGTGCGCCTGTGCTCTGAAGCCCGTGAGCCACGACTGCTGGGCCCGCACGCCTGGAGCCCATGCTCTGCAGCAGGGGAGACCACCACGGTGGGAGGCCTGCGCACCAGCGGCGAAGGGTGGCCCCCACTCGTCGCAGCTGGAGGGGGCCCACGCGCAGTAGCGGGGACCCAACGCAGCCAAAAAATAAAATTAAATAAATAAATAAAGTTCCTGTTGCTTCATATCCTCACCAAAATTTGGCATTGTCGGTATTTTGGATTTTGGCCGTTCTAATAGGTGTACAGTGGTAACAGATTCTTTTTAATATTTAAACCTGGTTGAAATTTTGCAATTTTACTAATTTTGTACAATTATACCACACATAATTTTTTATAAAATGTGTGTGTGTGTATATATATATATATACACTTTTATTTTGAAAGTTTTCTGATATATGCAAAAGGAGAGAGAACTGAATAACAAATCAGTTGTGTTCACTTCTTGGTTTCAACAATTATCTATACTTGGCCAATCTTGTTTCATTTATATTCCCATCAACACTCCCATCCTCCCACCCTCCATCTCCCAAGCCAGATTACTTTGAAGTAAATGCCAAGCATTATATGATCTCACCTCTAAGTATTTTTGTATGTGTCTCTAAAAGATAAGGACATTAAAAAGAAAACAAAACCACAACAGCATAATCACACCTAAAAATAAAATTTCTTAATATCATCAAATATGCATTATAATTTTGTTTCAATTTGTCTGAATCTGAATTCAAATAAGATTCATACATTGTGATTCTTTGATATGCACTTTCTTTTATCTATAGGTTTCTTCTCCATTTCTACTATTTCCCTTGCATTTAAAAAAACTGTTGTTGAAGGAATGGGTTGTTTGTCTTGCAGAATTTCCACAATCTAGATTTTTCTCGCTGCATCCCATTGGTGCCTTTTAACATATTCCTCTCTCCCTTGTATTCCCAGAAACTGGTAATTTGACCTAGAAGCTTGCTCTGATTCAAGGTCTAATGGAGGAGAGGGGACAAGACTATTTCATGCAGTGTTTCAACCTCCATCAGGAGACACATACTGTCTGACTGACTCCTTAAGTGATATAGTTATCCATTGATGGTATCTGCCTAGGTCCAACAACTCTTTAGAGACTTCAAAGTGATATTCTATTATTCATTCTTTTTTCTTAAATTGAAGTATAGTCGATTTATAATGTTGTATACACCAAAGTGATTCAGTCATACGTACATACATATATATCCCTATGTATTCTTTTCAGATTCTTTTCCATTATAGGTTATTTCAAGTTATTGAATATATTTCCCTGTGCTCTACAGTAGGTCCCTGTCGTTTATCTGTTTTATACTTACTAGGGTATACATGTTAATCCCAAACTCCTAATTTATCCCTCCCCCTGCCCCTTTCCCCTTTGGTAACCATGAGTTTGTTTTCCATATCTGTGAGTCTGCTTTGTAAATAAGTTCAGTTGCATTTTTTTTTTTAGATTCCACATGTAAGTGACATCATGTGATATTTGTCTTTCTCTGTCAGACTTACTCCACTTAGTGTGATAATCTCTAGGTCCACCCATGTTGCTGCAAATGGCATTATTTCATTTTTTTATGGCTGAGTAATATTTCATTTTATACACACACACACACACACACACACACCTGTCGATGGACACTTAGGTTGCTTCCATGTTTTGGCTACTATAAGTAGTGCTGCTATGAACAATGGGGTCCATGGATCTTTTCGAATTAGAGTTTTCCTCTTTCCTGGATATACGCCCAGGAGTGGTATTGCTGGATCATATGGTAACTTTATTTTTAGTTTTTTAAGGAACCTCCATACTGTTCTCCATAGTGGCTGCAACAATTTACATCCCATCAACAAGTGTAGGAGGGTTCCCTTTCCCTACACCCTGTCCAGCATTTATTATTTGTAGACTTCTTGTTGATGGCCATTCTGACCAGTGTGAGGTGGTACCTAATTGTAGTTTTGACTTGCATTTCTCTAATTATTAACGATGTTGAACATCTTTTCATGTGCCTATTGGCCATCTATATGTCTTCTTTGGAGAAATGTCTATTTAGATCTTCTGCCCATTTTGTATTGGGTTGTTTGATTTTTGATATTGAGCTACACGAGCTGTTTGTATATTTAGGAAATTAAGCCCTTGTCAGTTGCATAGTTTGCAAATCTTTTCTCCCATTGTATTTTCGTTTTGTTTATGGTTTCCTTTGCTGTGCAAAAGCTTATAAGTTTGATTAGGTCCCATTTGTTTATTTTTGCTTTTACTTCAATTACCTTAGGAGACTGATCTAGAAGGTATTGCTACGATTTATGTCAGAGAATATTTTGCCTATGTTCTCTTCTAAGAGCTTTATAGTGTCACATCTTATATTTAAGTCTTTAAGCCATCTTGGGTTTATTTATTTTTTATAAATTTATTTATCTATTTTTGGCTGTGTTGGGTCTTTGTTGCTGTGCGTGGGCTTTTTCTAATTGTGGTGAGCGGGGCCTACTCTTCGTTGTGGTGCACGGGCTTCTCATCGCAGTCGCTTCTCTTGTTGCAAAGTACAGGCTCTAGGTGCGTGGGCTTCAGTAGCTGTGGCATGCAGGCTCAGTAGTTGTGGATCGCAGGCTCTACAGCACAGGCTCAGTAGTGGTGGCGCATGGGCTTAGTTGCTCTGTGGCATGTGGGATCT